TTATGCAGCAACGAAATTTCGAACACATGTTGGTGCGTCACTGATCGGAATGACAAAACATCAAGGGCAACTGAAACCGACAAACAGACGTACTGTCACTCGCTTCCATTGGTCTTCCCACTTGCGCATTCATTGCCATCGAGCAAAGACAAAGCTCGTAGTTTTACTCAGCAAGCTTTTGTCCCAGCACTTTTTTGTTTGAGTACTCTTAATCGATACCAAAACCGTCGCACTGATGAGGCCAGTTGTTGTGCTGAATAGAAATGTATGCGACTTGACGGCCCCAAAAACTCCTGTTCAGTTGATTAATTTTTTAGGTTCTATATGTATCATTAGAGCCCCCATTACCATAAAAATTTCAAACAGAGAAAAAAAAAGCAGAAAGGAACAGATGCTCTCGTTTTTTTCGTGAGCATACGTCAAACTACTGTTCTTAGCATTCTTCATATATTAAACTGTGAATGCGTGCTAGTAGTACATAAACAACAGTGCATACTTCGTACCAGCTTCCAGATAATTTTGGCAATCACGATAATATTTTCTTTCTTGATGTAGATAAGGAGAAACATTCATGGCCTGCGCACAATTAAAAATGCTACTTCGGGGGCACATATTATCTAATAATGAAATATAATGAAGATTTTAAAGACTGAACTCTGCAGTATGTATAAAATTTCGGCACAAATAGCGTTCGCAATTCTGCCTCACCTAATGATAAAAAAATTGAAAAAATATGATAATATGCGTAATATATTGATAGGTCTCAGTGGAATGCAACATGTTGGCGGGAAAAATATTAATAATAATTACGGTAAAATGTTGATAAAACAGAATATAAGTGGATGGAATGTAATCGACAATATATCGGTGGATTATAATGAATAACATCGAAGAGGTAGTGGGTACTAACTGAAGGTATGCAGTTCTGGAACGAGAGACCTAGTACAGTTACGCCTGGCGTGGGGAAACATCCCAGTAAAATTACTACTATGGAGCAACTACAATGACAGCCTGGATGATCTTGGGATTATTGCCATATATCCATCATTGTTCAGGAAATAAAAGCTTTGTCGAATCAGAACCGTTCAGGAAACTATTGTGACCTAATAAAGCAAGAAGCGTGGGCCTATACAGGCGACGCATATTTTTTTGCTGTCAGTTGTGAATTTTGTCCATTAACGAGCCACACTCGTCAAACGTCATTTAAGTTGCAAATGAATACCTCAGTCTCATCCAAGAAGTAGAACGCGGAGAGAGGAAGGAGAGGGGGAGATTCTGAATTTCGAGCGCTGGTAGATGATGAGAATTCTGGATTTCTTGAGTATCGTGAAAATTCTGAATTTCCAGTTAATATATTGGTAAAAATTCTGAATTTCCAGTTATTACATGCAGTGAAACTTCTGGATTTTTAGCCTTGACATATGGTTGAAATTCTGGATTTCAGATACAGGTATATGATGAGAATCCAGTTTTTGAGTACTGGGATTCATGGATAGTCGCGTCAAAAAAGTGAACAATGCTTAAAATATGCAAAATCAAAATTTTATAACTTTGTTTTATTGGTAAGTTACAAAATTAGCACTGTAAAACAAAAAAATGACAGTTTAACATACAAAGAGAAAATAACAGGGACATGGGCAGTAGCAGGTTGGGAGTGCAACGGCGACAATATCGGAGATCTATTTTTCCTTTCACTTTTGCACCCATCATTCAAAAAATTTCGAAAATGTTCACAGAAAACGCACCGTCTTTTACAAAAACGATTTTTCATAGGTCAAGCACAAAAGTTAACAATGTTACAGCCGTTGCAGTTCCAACCCCACCCAGTA